TCTCAGTGTGACATGGCTCCTCCATATTTTTATGGAAATGTTTTAATATAAATATGCATAACTCAAATATGCTTCATGAAAAATGGAGCAAGTAACCTATCATTTAAGAGTTTCTAATCCCCTGAATATAGTGTATATTGTATTTGTGTGCATGTATCTTTCTTGTATGTGAAGTCAGAAGTATGACATGTAACCTATTTATTTACTAAGGTCTTCTAGTGAAAGTCATCTGTGGTATTTAAGGAACTTAAAGGCCCAGTTCTCAAGACAATGATCTGTGAATAATCTTGTTTTTCCTGTAAACCTAAACTGTGGCTGGTCCTAAAAAGACATGTGACCCTACTACCTGGTGCTGGAATCCATTTTGAATTTGGTATTTTCCCACAGAGGTGGGGAGAATGGCACAAAGACTTCCTGTCCTGGGGAAATTTTATTTAAGCAATGGGAAGCAAACAATGATTGTCTTCAGCTGTCTACCCACATCAAGAGGACACATAAAATCACCTGGAAACAAAAGAATTCTAACCATAATGGTGAAGATGAGCTGTTGGACCCAGGTCAGAAATATCAGCTCTGGCCTGAAAAGACTTCCCCTGAAATAAGAACTGGGATAAGAAGCTATGATTTTTAACAACTTGTCCTAGTGTATTAGGCTCAGCAGGCATGTTTTCTTTTATTTTAGCTTAGTAACTTGCAACCACTTAAATCCTACTTTTTATACTTATAATCACTTTTTTTTATCAAACTCAGCGTAAATCATTCTTACGAGGGGGGCAGATAACTGTGCATCTATCTCTTTCATTAAGAAAGGGGGAGAACTTTATGAGCCTTCTCTGTGTAAAACTTTTATACAGAGTAAGATGGATTTATTTGGGGGCTCGGTCCCTTTGGGGCTATGCTGAGGGTTACAGTCAAATCTCTGTAACTGAGACCTCCTAGAGCTGAGCTGTTATCAGTGTCTCTGGGTTACTTTGCTAGGGGACTGTTACCCCAATGCTGTGCCTTTTCTGGGGGAGACCAGAGCTCCTGGCACAGCAGGACAAGACAGTGGGTGTCCCAGATAGCAGGTAGGCAGGCTCAGTGGCATGACCAGCCCATCAGGCAACAGTTTCAAGGGGATCTCTATGACCAAACCCAGGACAATCAGCTTTCTAGTTTTTCCTATTCATGTTAAGAGCCCAACCCCAAATGGGCTTCATGCTACAGGACATGTATTGATGTCAGGAATTCTCCACATGGAACTCACACGATCAGGCACTCAGGTCCATTTTGACTGTCTATAAAAATTTAGGGTGGAACTGACTGGCAGTGACTGAAAACTAACTGATCATTTTCTGTTACTGTTGCAGAAGCATGATATGAAATGTTAGCTCTAAGAAGTGTTTGTGCATGGCAAATTAGGAAATATATACCATCTTTGTAAATATATGTTAGATTTTAAAGATTTTACATTGAAGTTAAAAGGTTTAAAATAAACTAATTTCCTAATTAGCAAGGTAGGAAACCTAGTTCAAGTCAGTTTACATTTGTAATTTACAGTTTGTGAAAGTGTGAAGAATTTTTTATTCTCTTTATTAATCAATAAAATGCAATTGCAAAGACCTAAGGAAATGTGTTTTTTAAGGAAAATGCAATTTTAGCACTGTGATGTTTTAAAGGAGTTTGATCCTTCAAGGTACTGAGTGTCTTGTTATTGACTTCAATGGGCTTTGTATCGGGCTCATAATATTATAATTCAGTAAGAAAAATCTTTGTTAAATCATTTCCACCTAATTTGCAAACAATCTGTTCACTTTTAAAAAAGTAACTTGTCCATTTCACAAATTGAAGAACTCTGTTCAGATTTACTGAAACCCAGGACAACTTGCAGCAATGGAAACACTTAGATAAACACTGTAATTCACGACATAGAGCCCCACAGGCCTGATCCTGTGCATCCATGTGCATAATTTTACTCCCATGAACAGTCTTACACATGTGTAAGAGTTTACAGGATTGGGCCTATACACTCCCCATATTTTAACTTTTATAAATTAAAGTATTGCCAGATGGGATGTCTTCTGCAGTCAGACTACCCATGGAATAATATGTTTGCTCTCAAAGGCTTTAGATACCAAGTCCTGGAGTTTGCAAGGGGGGAAAGAGAGAGGGAGGAGGGGTTTTGCTTTCTGTGTTAAAATTTATGCCCTGAAATCAGAACACTTCTGGCAAAGTCAGCTTCATCTTTTCAGTCCTTTTCATGGAATTTAAAGTCACTCGAAAGAGCACTTCCCTTCCAGCTGCACTCTAAAGATTGCCAATTACAGTCCTGCATGAGAGGATGGAATTTCTTCTGATTCAGAACTGGAGGTCTACTTCTTTCAAACAGCACATGAGATAAATTCATTTTGATTTGGGTACAAAAAGTATCAGTAAACCAGAAAGTCTATTTACATGCATTTGGATTTGCTTAGCATTAAAAACCAATGGCTTATGTTTACACTGAGTTGACAAATTCAGAGGTTAATCACCTTTAGCCAACAAGGTCAAAAGGATACCAAAACATGGATCCCATTTCAGGAAAACATGTGTTTGTAAGTACAATTCAAAGAACTGTTAAAGATCTTCCAGACAGAGAGAGAAGTACTCATTCCAGCCAGACTCAGTGCAGCTCGGCACCTATATTTATAGATTTTAGGGCAATACAAGTCTCTTCTTAAATACCCATAGAAAAAGATACATTTTAAGTAGACAACAGAAAACTAAAATAACCTTATTTATAATAATGTAACTATAACCAATTTTATGGCTCATTCACAAAGCTTATTATGTACTCTAGTCTTTGATGTAGCAAACTCCAGTATCTGCCTAATCTCAAATATGGAAATAATCCCATATCTTCATTGGAACTATCTCAGTCTTCAAGTGAAGCACACGAAGAGTTACATTTCTGAGCTGGGATCCTACACATTCTGCAGCATGTAACTATTCTTCTGGTGGATATGGCTATGTCTCAGTTGCTTTGCCACGCACTTCAGTACCCATGGTGTAATGTTGGCCATTAGAGAATACTTCTTTTTGTCTCCTGGAGTTGGTAAAGCAACAGCTGCTATGCCTCTGTTCCCAGTGTCACGTGACTGATTTTGTAATGGATAGGATCACACTGTGCATCTGAATTCCTACTGCCCATCTGCACAGGCCATGACTGAAATACAGAGGGCCATGCCAGACTGCTCTAGTTTCTAGATAATTATTTTGTGTCAGTAACAGAGCAGCTATTCGACCAGGGATAGAAGCAACCAGTAATGGCATGAACATCCTGAAAACCTCTAAAGATCAGAGGAAAGCTGCCTCCAATTCCCATATAAATAAGCATCACTCATGCTTAAGGCATCACAACAAAATTAACAGCAAGGGATCTTACTTGACAGTAACACTGTCATGTGCCAAATGCACTTTCAGTACGGTAGAAGGGGTGAAGAACCCTGAGCTGCAAACCCACTTTGGTTCTGTTGTGGAAAGGGATCATATTCAGCTGGAATAAAGGAGCTGAGGGTTATGGATAAAGGTTTTGCTTCAAGCTAATTTTAAATTATTTTCTGTTTTTAAATTGTTCTAACTCTTCAGTTAATTTTACTGGGTTACAATATTTTAAAGCAGAGCAGGAGACATAGGAATGGCACTTTTTCAAAGCATTGGAGCATACCTAATTTTTTAGTTCCAGTACACACTGGAACTAACTTTTGCTCCATTTGCAACCCACATGCTGACACAGCATCCCTCCCCTTTTCTGTTCCCAGTTCCTGTTATGAGTTTATTCCATAAAAAGATAGATGAATTCATCTCCTTTCAAGTAAAAGAACATGCTTTTGAATAGCTCAATATGTGATATTGTAACATAATTCCAACCCAGACCTTGTTTTAATCAGTCAGATCAACTCTCACAATAGAGTTGCCATATACCTATCATCACCTAGCCTGTACCGTGGGTGTGTAGAGTTAATACATAGGACCAAATTCAGGTGCCTCTTCCCAATATAAGCATGTGAAAAAAGAAAAGTGACTAAGTGGAGCCACAGCTCCCTCACATCTTTAAAGTTTCCACTTTACTGGTCTTTTGTGACAATGTTCCTACTCAGGGGCAGAGAATATATACACTTCCTGACCAGTTTAGTTCTAGCCAGGATGTCAAAGCCTGTGCAAGGAAGGAGGAGGAGTTTCCATTACAGGCCAGTATTCTATTTTTTTTTAAAGTGGCCTTTTAATACCTGCTCCTCTCCAGAGTCAGAAGCAGCCCTGAAGCCAGGAACTCTCTGTTGAAGAAATCTACCAGTCCCACTGCCCTATGCTGCAGGGAAGGATGCCAGAATGCAGAACCAAGGGAGGGAGATGGAACTGGACTGGAAGAGAGGAGTGGCAAGCCAGTGAATGGATTGGGAGGAAGGGTTGAGAAACCAGAGCTTAGATTCAGGAGAGAAAGGAGCCTGGAGCCTGGAGAGAGCCAGCAAGAGGGGATGGAGGCAATGAAAGAACAGAGTGGAGGCAGGGGGGGAGACTGAGACCAACCAGGTGCTCCAGAAAAGTTAAACAATTAACTACATGGGAAATGGTTGGGGGTGGGAAAGGTTCAAAAATTTTAAGACAAGAAGAGATGATAAGATATCTAGTCTGACCTCCTCTGTGGTTGAGGAATATGAACTGAAATTGACTTTATATTGTGAAGGGGGAAATTAAGTTGATTTTTCTGGTTTGGGACCGGAAGGATTGAATGGTTTGTAAGACAGTTCTCCTCACACACAGACACCAGCATTTCAGCCACACATTAGCAACTTCCCCCATGCAAGGACCAACTGTGGTTGCTAGAGAAGCGGTCTGCATCTGCAAAGTGGAGTGTGATTTGAAGGGGAATTGGTGCACAAAATTCTAGTAAGAGACAGTATAAGCCCTAACCTAAAAGCATCTGAAAACTAGGTCTGAGACAACAAACAGTACAGATGGTCAAAAGCATCACAGTCACTAACCTTCAAATATAGTGATGATATGAGAATGGCTGAGGGATGACATGATTTCAATCTCTCGTCTGATGTGAACCATATCTTGTTCATCCTTAATTTTGTCCTTACGAATGGATTTTATTGCAACCTATAAATGCAGGAAATCAAAGCATTACTCTTGGAACTAAACAGATGCAAATAATCTATTAGGAGAGTTCAGAAAATAAATACAGATGTCAGGTGCTGGCACAATGTGGAATGACCAAAACAAAGTTTTAAAATAAATACCCCATTACCTCTTCCACTTCATTACAACAAATACACTCTCATTACTGCAGTGGATCACATTAAGTTTTGAGATTTTTATTTGCATGCCTTTATCCTGCAAAAAAGGGTGGGGTTTTCAAAAAAACACTCAGCATTGGCTTAAATCTGAAGTCAATGGTAAAACCCCCCACTGATATCAATGAGAACAGCATTTGGCCAGAGTTCATTGTTTTGACAATCTCACATAAAAGCTTTAGCCCATTCCCATTAGAAATCCTATTTGTTTTTCACATAAAAATGCTGAAATGTTAAGGTACCAATAACAAAATATATTGGAACAAGCTCATACAATGAGCATGGTTTTAATACAAGTTATTACATGATGAGCTACAATATGCAAGTCCTAAGTCCTGAGCAAGTCTTAAGTAAAAAATAAAGAAATCCTTAATATTTGGAGCCTTGAAAAAAATCACTCTTGTATAAATCCTGTGCTTTCATTTCCTATACAGAACTTGGGCAATCACTCCAAAACCATATCCTTCCTGCATCCTTCCTCAATCAGCCACCTTTCTCAAGTACATCATGTGACTGGGTATCTTTCCAAAAAGCAGGGTGGGAACAGAGGAAGTGATAGGCAAACTTGCAGCACAAATTCAGACTCAAGTGTTTGAGTTGCCTGTGGAAAAGAGAGGACTTTTATAAGCTAGTTCATATATAATTGTGGGGGTCAGATTATACTACAAAAGAAAAACATAAGCCAACAACAGTAAGACCCTGATTGGTGGAATGTGTTTTTGAATGACAGCAAATGGCAACACAGACTTTATGATCAGAGATACTTACCCCAAATGGCTTTTTTTATAAGTCCAGGCACAAGGAATAAATTACCAGCTGATTTAAAAATCAAACATGGGCCTTTCAGCTAACATAATTATCTGACAATGCACCTCTAGTTTCCTTGCTCTTGCTATGGAGGCCACCTTTGTGGGTGAATAACACTTTTGTTATTCCACTTGCTTATTATAATATGGAACTATCTTGAGAAAACATTTTGCCTTGTGAAAAAATATGTGGGTTTACAGTGTTCCAGTCTACTATGACACACTGCTTGAGTGCATCAATCATTGCAAATGCCACTATTGGTGCCATTTTAATTAGCGGTGTGAATTGTTAATCAGTTAACCAGCAAGCATCACTCTGGGTGATGTTCACAGATGACTAGCAAGGGCTGGAGCAGTCCCTGCCCACTGCAGGCAGGGGGCTGTTCCAGTCCAGCTGGGCCTGCTGTGGTCAGAGGGCACTCCAGTCCAGCCAGAGCAGTCCCCACCATGGCACGACGTATTGAAGGTGGGGAGCACTCCAGCCTGGCCAGAACAGCCATTGTCTATGGTGGGCCGCACTCCAGCCTGGCCCAAGAAGTTCCAGCTAGTTAATAGATTAAATGGGATTTTACAACTCTATTTTTAATTATTATATTGTGTAGCCTCAAGGACATTGGGGAGAAACAGGAAAATATAAAAGAATATTAAAGTGAACTATGGTTAAATGGAATCATGTTACAAGATCAGGTTCCTTGCTAGTTACTACAGAGTTCCCAAATTGGGAAGGCATCGCTATTGGGGAAAAAAAACAAAAAACCACATTCTTAATTTTAAGCGTGAACCTAAATCCCCCTGAAGTCAACAGAGCTTAAACTTTAAGCATGTGCCCAAGCACTACCCTGATTCATGAATGAACAACAGCAGACAGTAAAGGATGAGTGGAGTCATATTTAAAAGCTAAAAAACTTTTTTCTGCTTCTTAAAAAAATGTTTGGGATAGAAGCTTAAAAAGTAAAAGTGCAATGCAATGTTTTCATTGAGGATTCAAACCTTTCTAGTAAAGGTAACAAGACAAAGTCCCCATCAGAGGAATTCCAAGAAGAGAGCTAAAGCAGCCAACACTAGCAGACAACATATGATTTTTTCTCTTTATCCACTTCTCTAAGGCAGCCTAGGCTGTAAGTGCATACCTTGTTTACAAGGAGGATGTGGGTGGCTCTTGG